CCTTTTTCTTTTACGTAAGGAATATGTGTAGCAAAGTTTATGAGTCAACTTTTGGGAATAAATCATCCTACATTTGATGTAGGCGCTGAAATTGTCGGGCGATTTTGTGTTTTTCGATAAACTACAACCTTTTTTCTTTCTGCTAGGTTTGGTTCTGGTATAACATGGAACCTTAATCGTTTTCTTTTAAATTCATTCGGCACTTCGGATAACTGGCCAAAGGTGAGCCCTTTAATGCCAACACACAGTAGCTACATTTAAAGGAAGGGATCTAGATGTCTTGTCGTAAAGCTTTCATATTACTGTGAGTGAAAGAAGACCTGACTGTGCATTTCTGAGAAGGAATCTGAGTTAAATCCAAATTCTCAGCCCCCAACAGCTGTCTTCGTTCCCACCAGGGACGCTGCTTAGGTTTAAAAAAACAGAAATCCAAGGATTATCCAAAAGGAACGCATCACAAGCAATCGAAACACTGAACAGTTTTGGGGATGATTTGTATGGCCACCTAGACATGATACGGGAATAGGAGCCTCCCGCTTCTTAGAATAGGTTGCCCTGCGATAAAATGTAGGAAGGGTAAATGTTCCCGTGTCCTATCCATAAAAATATATCTGACATAAAACTAAACTGTAACCTTAATCTTAACTCTAGTCCTACCCTAAACCTAGACCCTACAGATAACATGAACCAAATCCTTAACCCTCAACATAATCTTGACCCTAACCCCATCCTTAAACCTAGGCCTAAACTTAATCTTAGCCCTCGTCTTAATCCTACACCTAACTTCCCTGGTATTTGACACAAAGTCAGGTGAACTATGGGCGATTATTATTCAATTGTCGTTTTGAGGTGGCCATGCAAGTAATCCTTATCATTTTATTGAGAAGAATAGAGAAGTGGCTTATTTGCCGTGGCCTGCCAATGATTGCCCCAATACAGGAGATCCTAATTCCAAGTAAGTAGACTTGAGCAAAGCTTACTTCGCTGCGCTAACTGGTTCAGGTCCTTTCGGGCATAGCTGGTTGGGACGTACGTTGGTCTATCCCGATTACAGAATAAGAATGAACATCTATGCGTAGCCTTGACATCGAAGATATTTAATGGTACAAGTTCCTGCACATTTTACAACCCTGAACCTCCGCGATTGCTTGCACGTAGAATAAATGAAGAAGAC